CCCCCCCGCCACAAGACATGTCCAGAGGCCCATTTATCAGATAATGCTGGATTTTGTCCAGTTGACAATTAGCATTGGCCACCACTGTGACCTTTGTGGCAGCAATTTTGCCAAACAAGTTCAAATGGTGCGGTTGCTAAAATCTTGTCATTGCTTGCTTGCTCTTTTTTCTTTCTTTCGTGTTATAAAATGGCTTTAGTGAGGCTCTTCACTGGGACACCATCTGTGGACTGTTATGGGCAGGGGTGGCTTCACGGATGGCATTGACCCTCTAGCAGGTGTTACCAAAATGTATATGTCACCATAAAGCCCACTGCTTGCTGTCTCTGCCTCATAACAGGTATTAAACATTCATAAATACTTACACCCCCGTCATGCTTCTTTATGGAACCTTGGGGTCCAAAGATCCAGTAGGGGACACCAGAACTGGCTGTGGGGGAAGGGATGGCAATGCCATCCATTATTGTCATGGTCACCATGAATGGAATGGGCAGAAGGGCAGGGGTCTGTGGATGTTAGAGATGGGGAAGCCTGCAGCCTGAGTAGTGGTGGGAGACCTGGATGTAGATGGGCTGCTCACGCAGCACAGAGTCACCGAGGTACAGTAGCTGACCACGGTGTCCGTGGCCCCCATGTTCATTTCACGGAATATTCTTCCCCTTCAGCATGAGTGACTGCCATGTTGGTGACCTTCTCGAAGGTAACATCGCTGGGCAACATGGACCATCACGGAGGGGATCCCTGCACTCCCGCTGTCCTCTTTGAGCTTCTTCCTGTCATTTCCAGTGACAGTGGTAGCTGGGCTGCTGCTCACGACGAACAATTGTGGTTTTTTGCCAACTGCTATGTCTGAGACAGTGTCCTTGACACAGAGTGGACGAGTGAGGTCACAGTGGAGCCACAGGAATCTCTGCTCCTACTCTTCCTCTTTCTCAGTCTTACTTCTCTTCACTCCTTCCACCTGCCTCTCCCCCCACCACACACACATTCAGAGAGCAGTGGAATAAGAGCAAAAGGGGAAAGAAGTGAAACCAGGCTGGCAGCAAGGCGTCTTTGACGAGGAGGAACAGCACTAACTTGCTCATTCTTCTTGAGGTCAGAGCATGCGTTTTGTAGAAATTTCTTTTTTTTTTTTTTTTTTTTTTTTTTTTTTTTTTTTTTTTTTTCGAGACAGGGTTTCTCTGTGTAGCTTTGCGCCTTTCCTGGGACTCACTTGGTAGCCCAGGCTGGCCTCGAACTCACAGAGATCCGCCTGGCTCTGCCTCCCGAGTGCTGGGATTAAAGGCGTGCGCCACCACCGCCCGGCTAGAAATTTCTTTTTAAATAGTACCATCTTCAAATAAACAAGCTTTTCAGTGATAAGCTCCCACCTTCTCTCTGCTTGCCAAGGCATTTCCTTCTTCCTAGCCTTGACGTCCTCCAGCAGAAGGCAGACACACAGAACAAGAGACATGTGCCAGAATTGCAAAGTCGGAGTTAGCATTTTTAAGAGCACTGCTTTTTAGTATTATGTGTTTCTATATTTTAACTCATATGTGCTTGATATTTTAAGGATACACAGTTTTTCATACATTAGTAACTATTGCAGGAATTTAATTCTCTGCTTTTTTTTTTTGAGGTGATCTAGGGTAATCTACAGAGTACTTTAAACTGAAAGAAGACTTTGGGATACTCACTGAATAGATGGAGTACTTAAAGATACACCAGTGAAAGAAAACTCTGTCTCCTTTGCTCCAGTACAACTTGGAAATTAAGGCGCTTACCAATAACATAGACTCTTTTGTTCCAGTTCTCGCTGATTTTGCCAGTGTGGGGTCTGAATGTTGCCAGTGTGGGGCCTAGAAATTTGCATTTTCTGTGTCCTGGGTAAATCTTAGGGCAAGTCCTCAGGGGGAAATTATTTACTGCTACTGTATTTTTTTCTATTACTGTATTTTTATAGTGGGCAAACCCTTTGATAATGGTTGCCTTTGAAAATAGTATTCTCCTCACAGGGCAGCAACGGGGAGTGAGCCTGTCGCCTTGTATAACAGTCCAGTAGAGGAAAACGACACCTCAGTGCTACTACAAACTAGTCTTCCTCGAAATTTGCAAATACTTCTACTGAAAGAGGGGTGGTTAAAAAAAGAGAACCTGATCAGTGACCCAAGACCAATGACCCAACTGTTTCAATAAGTCTTAGTGCAGGGAACAAGAAGCACGGGAATCCAAGACTTCACCTCCAATGAGAGTGAATGGGACAGAATCCACGAGGGAGAATGAAATGGACCGAGTGTGAACTGTACAAAGGAATGCAAGAGGGACAAACCCCCGAGGGGATTCCCAGAGGACACGAGCACTTGGATGACAAGGGAAGCCAGCATATGGTGTGAAATTGCCATTCAATCGAGAGACAGAAATGCTGGAGAAAAACTAAACGGAAATATTGGAAGTGAAAAATTCAAGGAGCCAAGTGAAGACAAAACTCAATAAAAACCTCACCAGAGCTGGAGACACGGCTCAGTGGCTAAGAGTAGGTGCTGCTCTTCCAGGGGATCTGAGTTTGATTTCTAGTCAAGTGACTTAACAACCGCTGGTAGCCCCTATTATAGGGGATCCAATCTTTAGAACATTGTGAAAAGACCAAACCTATGAATCATGGGCATAGAAGAGGGATAAGGATTTGTCTTAAAAAGACACAGAAAATAATTTCAATAAAATCACAGCAGAAAATTCCCCACATTTAAGGGAAGAATGTCCATCCAGGTACAAGAGGCATTTAGAAGCCCAATGAAAGAAGACTAGAAAAGAATTTCATCATGAAGGACTAAAAGTCCAGCCTAAGGAAAGTATGTTGAAACTAGAAAGACAGAAACACAGAGCCACATAGAAAGACAGGCCCATCCGAATAGCAGCAGATTTCTGAAACAAAACAAGACAAAGCCAAACAAAACTTTTAAAGCAAGGAGGGTTTTGAATGATGTTATTTCAAAAGACAACAGCCCATCCAGAATACTATACCCAGAAAAACTAGCTATAGTAATTGAAGACAAAAGAAAAAGTTGGCCACTAAGCCAACTACACAGAGAATGTTTGAAGAAATACTGCAGACTGAACAGAAAGACAAGCACATCCATGAGGCTACAGAAAAGAATAAACCATGCCAGAACAGTAGTTGAGTAGAGGAGGACTTGAAAAACATCAAACACCACAAAGTAACAGTAAATAGTACACATTTCTCAATAATAACTCTGGATATTAATGGTCTCAATATGGCATCAAAAACACAGACTAGGAGATTAGATTAACAAGCAGAATGTTTGTTCCATCCAAGCAATGAGCCTCACCATCAAACAGGGATGCGGCAGTAGAAAGGATGGAAAAAGGTATGCCCAGCAAGCAGAACCAGGAAACCAACAAGTGCTGATGTTCTAGTCCCTGAGGAAATGAGGATCAGTCAGAAGAGATAGAGAAAGTCTCCCGTTAAGGGAACAAGCCATCAAGATGACATTACAAATCTCAGCATGTATTCATTGAGCATGCGTGCACCCAAATTCATAAAACTAAGTACTTCTAGACAGAAAGATTGCAGGTAACACTATTGCAGGAATCAGGTGTTACTTCACTACCTCACTCTCACTAATAAATAGGTCATCTGACAAAAAAGCAAAGAAAACAGCTCAGTCGAATGACATCATATAGCAAATGGATCTATAGACATCTATAGAACACTCCATCATCCTCAACAACAGAAAACCTACAGAATATACACATTCTTCTCAGCAGCCCTGAAATAGATCACATAATAGGACACAAAACAAGTCTTAACAGCCAGGTGGTGGTGGTGCCCACCTTTAATCCTAGCACTCAGGAGGCAGAGGCAGTGGATCTCTGAGTTTGAGGCCAGCCTGGTCTACAAAGAGAGTTCCAGGACAGGCTCTAAAGCTACACAGAGAAACCCTGTCTCGAAAAGCCAACCCCCCCTAATAAAAACCCCCAAACAAGTCTTAACAAATATAGGAATATTGAAACAATTTC